CGGCCTCCTGCTCCGGGTGCCTGTGGGTCTGTAGTTACCTTGCAGGTTTTACAGGCCATGCACACCCTTCCTGCCTGACTTCCAAGTTACGCAGAACGGAGATGAGCACCTTGAGCCGGCCCTGCAGGTTATCCCCCAGAGCAGAACAGACAATGATGTGCAAAGTCTGTTCTGCCTCCTTGGGGTTGAGGAAGGGAACTGGGAACCAGGCTCCTGCCATTTTAAGAATAAGACCACCACTGCATGGGGGACAAGGAGGGGGAAAAAAAAATCACAAATTTTCCTACCGTTTTGAGGATAGTTTTTCTTCACTGGGCACTGCTTTGGTTGCTGTAAACCTCCGACTACTTTCCAGAACTCCAGCAAAGTCGGTTCATATACTTGCTGCCTTTTTTCCTCTCCCCAGTGTTTCTGTGGGGGAACAAAAGCTCAGAGTTCACCATTTTGCTGGTGTCACTCAGATCAATTATGTTTACTTCTGTCTGTAATTCTAGTATCAAAACAAGGCCTTGAACAGAGTGTGCCAGCAATGCACGTGTGGTGGCTGAATTTTGGTTAGACTTGGGAATATTGTATAAATGTTAAGAAAACAGCCTCAAAAATCTTCCTCATTCTGATCATTTATGTTTAAAATTAATCAACAAGTAGTCTTCCCGATTTCTTGTAATTATCCATCTTGCCCCTTTTGCTGTGATGACAGTCACTAGAGAATAGTTATATTGATAAAAACTAATTATGAAATGTTCCATACACTCTTAGTACTTAGTACTTGTATGTTTTAACATACAAGAACTTTACTGGTTTCTGCCGATGTTTTCTACTCAATAGTAGCGTATGTTCTTGTAACCTGTCTCCAGTGTGACATAGGGCAGAAATGAAAGAAATAAAACAAAAATAACATGTCTTGTGAATATCTATTTTTCTCGACATAGGACCAATATTAAAATAACGTTCTAGTAACATTCTTTACAAAGTATAGATGTTAACTTTGTTCATTTAACAAGAATGTTACCAATTCTTACTATGTTTCGTTATTTTAGGATTTTCATTAAGCAGATTCATACCCAGTTTCTACAAGTGAAAAATCAAGTCAGTCATCTAAA